CTGATCGTTTAAACTGCTACCTAAGGAAGGTAGAGTAGTGCAGGATGACATGGGTTCGGGAGAGGAGGATGGGGGGAAAGAAAGTCTGAGGATCCCCACATTTTTTTCCCACGTCTCTGTGCAAACGCAGGGAGGCTCAGCGCTGCCACCTGGCGGCTGCCCCTGCACCTTGGCTTCGCGTGGGTGTGCCGGGCCTAGGGTTTCTGAAATGGAGCAGAGGCTCCTATTCATTCTTTGAATCTGCGTGGCTCAGGCAAACAATTGTTTTCTCCTTATCCTCATCAGAAAATCGTGAAGACAATACCAACATGGGCCAGTGAAGCAACGTCCTCCACAACTAGACTGAAGAACAAAAGGACAGCAGCTTGTCTGTTCCTCTTCCCCGATTACCCACCGCTGTTCCCCTCCCCCAATTCCCCAATTAAAAAATCTTTAAAAAAAAGAAAAAAAATCATGAGAAAAGGAAAAAGAGTTGACATTGGTATGAAGTGCTTACTTAAGCTCATCAGGTGCTACTTGCTGGTTAGGAGGGGGAGAGAAAATGGTAAAATTAGAAATGTGGGGTTCTTATCTCTATTCTAAGACTAAAAATATATCCTGGATTTCATTTTACTCCAGATTTCTATTTTGATATTTTTCAAATAAGAATTACATCCATTTATTTTTATTATTATTTTTCAACCCCCATAAGGGAAGTCCAGTTCCAATACTTCATCAGCCCAAAAGGATGAAGTGCAAGTTATGTTTGTTTATTTGATTGAGAAGTCAGCCTTGGAGGGAGGATTCTTTTCCATAAAGTGTGGAACCGAAAAGCCTGGGGCCCTTCAGTTGACAAAGGCCAATGACATCAAATTTCCCAGGGTTTCTTCCCTGTCTGTGAAAGAAACAAGACAGGGTTTTGTTTTTTCCCCCTCTTTATTTTTATTTGAACTGAGTTTTTGTCAGGTCAGCCCAGCGCCTACAACCATAGTTTCTATAACTAAGGCAAGGCAAATCTTGCAAATCAGTGCAAATCCAGATTTGTTAAACTAATTTCCCTTCAGGTTTTTTCCCCTGTATGCTATAAGAATATATTAAGCAGTGGGATAGAATCTTATTTCCATCTACACCCCATACTACTTTATGGAGGTGAGATTTTATGTTGTATAGTGTGAGAGCAGAAGAAATGAATTAGCAGATAATTAATTACATCATATCGAATTCCATTATTTAATGGAAAATAATCTTAATTTAAAATTTGAAATGTCTAGCCTCGTTGCTAATAAAGACAGTCTATTATTCTAAAACAATTTTTTCTTCAAAATTATCTTGGTTTCAGCTAATAATGGCTTAAAGAGTAGCATTAAGAATTACTTCATGTACTGCAAAGCCAGCAGAGGGAACACTGAGTACTGATTTAGTAGGGGCCACCAAATATCTGATATTTAGGGGGAGAAATGTCAGTAATGGAAAACTGGCTACAAAGCATATGAAGTTAGGTAATGAGAATATAGGAATCTTTTCTCATTATTTGGTATTCAGAGGCCTAACACATTCCAATATGCACATACTTAGTTGGTGAGAAAGATGATTTTAATAAAAGGCCATTTGTCATGTTTTCTTACATTTTAAGGGAACTAATAACACATAAAAACAAATCTACTTCAGAAGTCTAAGCATTCATATATATTACAATAATCCTATAAAGTCAATGGAAATTACTAATACCATATTTCTTCAATTCTAAGGTGAACATTTTCTTTTCATTTTCAACACGTCTGAATTAGGGATATGTCCTACAACTGGAGGATGTCACAGTTTCATTGGCAGTTTTTCTTCTTCCTTAGTGGCATGTAACAATGGTGGTTCTTAAAATCTATTGGATTTGTTGCAATACAGAAAATACATCTAATGGTTAGAAATACACCAGTGACTTTTTTTTTTTTTTGGTACAAGCTTTTTAACATCTGTGTGCTTTAAGCATAAACAAAATTACTATGACTGCTTTGATTAACTTCCACTCTCCCCCTATCATATTCAGTGGTAGAAGCATAAATGGATTTAGATCAATTATATTGATACCTTGACTGGATTGTCACAAAATAGCTACACTCTCTAATCTTTGTTGGTACAAATCCCAAAATAAATATAGTATTTATTCTTTTTTATTCTAGTGACAATATAGATTTTATAACAAACAGACCTCTTAATTTTTATGTCAGATTGATAACATTTAGGGGTGTGTTTGGGTTGCATACCAAAGAAAATTAAATGCATGATAATACACCCAAATTTGTTATATGCAAAAAAGATCCCTGTGGGTTTTTGTTTGCTTTTAATACTTGTTTCCCCTTGGAAAAGAAAAAGCATATAACTTGGGTAGCTAATGGTCAAAATTTTTTTGCTTTTACCCACAAAATCATTCTTGCTTGTGGTTGATCTTTAGAAATCAACTCAGATGTCTCCAAAGGGTGTTCTTTCCAGTAACATTCTAAATCTGACAACCTGGGCCTCTCGCCAACCTACATACTTTAAGTTTGACAAGATAAATAGAAATCTGCTGCCTAGCACTAGTTTGATCTGAATCAAAACCACCTATCATTGGCCTGTAGAAAAACAGTTGACTTATTATGGTATTAGGGAAGAATTCTAATTTTCACATCTTGGGACAAAGGTAATTTTTATGGCCACATTAACTTGCGTTCTGACTATCTAGGCACCTTTTCTTTGCCACATTATTCACAATGCTCTTCACGAAGTTCCTTTCTTTTAAAATCATTAGAAGTTCAGTGTTGCCACTTTTGCCCTTGGATGGAGTTCACATCCACCATCTGTGATTATTTTTTTCACATTAGTGGCCATCTTCAATGTTGGTCTCGTGAATAATAGGCTGCTTCTACTAGTAGGAGTGTCTTTGGCATTTGAATTATCAAGGGAAGGATAATAGCATTCACTGAGGGCTTACTATACATCAAACTCATTGAACCCTCACAAAAACCCTATATAAAGTAGCTCCTGGTGTTCCCGTATCCCAGATGAGGAGAACTGAAACTTGGTCACAGGGTTACAAAACCAGTATCAAGGATGAGCAGGTAGGTCTAAAATAAATCCAGAGGCTCCCTTCTCTTCTGTTGCCTTCTCTTCTGCCACCTCCTTCTAGTTTGCCTTGGCCTTACAGTTCCATTTGATTTCAAGTAACAAATATACAGGAGGAATATAAAAGAGAAAAAAAATTAATATATATATTATATATATGGGAAAGGAGGAGGGAGAGGACCGAGAGTGAAGCAATCTTTAATTCTGAAAGTAAAATTGATTCCCATCCTTTACTCACCATTATCGTCCTATACAAAACTGTGGAAATTCTCCCGTTGAGTTAATTATGGAGCACTGCCTAATGTGTTGCAATGAAAAGCTCCTCTGTTTGGGCTACTCAGGATTTACAGGGGAGTTTAAATCATTAAATAACCATAGTTAACCCCTGTTTCGTTAAGAGAGCAAGTAATTATTGCAAAAATTCCTCTTTTCTACCACAAACAGCACAAAAATTGCTCAGAAGGGATTTACACAACACACCAACATCTGTGCTGTACCTAGAGTTGTTAAAATAATTGTGATGACAGGTGTCTAGGTACCACTTTCTTAATGGTTTTCAATATCCATTGATTTATTGTTGTAGCTTTCCCTCCCCCTTTTACATCACTGGCTTTATGAAGGAGCAGAGGAACAGATTTGCACTAGAGACTGATTCTTTATTCCAATACTGAAAAGAACTAATAAAAATAATCACTTGGCTTTTAAGCAGAAAGCTTCCATTTACAGTATTTCACCCTTACCTCCCTCCCTTGCAAGCCCCTTGTTATCTAACATAATGGTTAGAATACATTTCCGTCTCTCCCCTTAATAATTTCATGCATTAACATCCTCTTCACACCACACACACACACACACACACACACACACACACA